CCTTTTCCTCCACATCCTCACCAGCATCTGTTGTTGTTTGTTTTATTAATGATGGCCATTCTTACTGGGGTTAAGTGGTATCTCAGTGTGGTTTTGATTTGCATTTCTCTGATGATGAATGAGACGGAGCATTTCTTCATGTGTCTGTTGGCTGTCCGTATATCTTCTTTTGAGAAGTGATACATCAATTTAAAGTTAAAATCTTATGACAGGTGACTACATATAATGACATGAATATTCATTTGCAATTGGTGGGTGAAGCAAAGCTAGCTGACTCTAAACTATAGAATGGAAGTCTTTTTGAGATACCTTGGTAAGAGAAATGATCGAGACACATGTAAAAGTCTTTGTATGCCCAGTGCTAATGTCTTCTCTTCTTGAAATCTAGTGGGAATCACCAAGTAGCAGGAATAATAAAATACTGATAAATATTAATACACTGTTGGGATACACTATCTCAATGTAGTCACAGTCACTAACTAAGATCTTTGACAGCTGGAATATTAAGTTGTGTACAACCTGGTTTATCTATCTCCTCCTATCCTCTGGATCCTCCCCCAACACAAAATATCCCTTGTATTATCCAGACGTTTTTACCAAGAGGCTTATTTACATGTAAGAGTTTGCAGTAAACATAACAAAACACAAGAAATTACCTGTTCTTCCTGAACATCCTTGCTCCTGTAGGATAAAGGCCCTGAGACCTCTCAGAATATTATGAAGTTGGAAAATTACATGGAGGGGCGGGGTTCTGGTCTTTTCTCTACTTGCAACTAGCTATGAAATCTTGTGTAGGTCACTTTTAGTCTTACCTCCCCCATCTGTTAACCAAAGATGGACTAGCCTAAATTATTCCTTCTAGCTAATAATCTGTGGTTCTCATCAAGGAGAAATAACACTTGAAAAGTGCTTTGTAAATGTTCTTTATGATACTCAAGATGATACTGCACTAGAAAGAAAGACAGCACCTACAGATGTATTATTCATTGTGACTATGGTGGTCTTTTCTCAGCATCCCTTTGCCCATGTTCACTTTGAAGACCTGAAATGAAGTTGAACTAGAAGTTGTGCTAAAACGTGAAGCAGGGTGAAAAGGTGTTTGCTTTGTTATACATTTAAATCCAGTTATCTGTTTTCTTTTCATACTAGTGCTAACTTTTTCATGACCAAAAGGCAGCTTCCAGTGTGTCTGTTGACCTCACAAAATGTCTTCATGCTTTTGCCCAGCAGGACCACAGAGGCTTTGTCTCACTTGCAGTCCCTGCCCAACACCGAAGTCCTGCTGGAATCTGTGCTCCGAGGGCTGTGCTGGGTAGAGAGGGCCGTGGGAGGTAGGAGCTCTTCACCCTTCACCACCTTCTCCACCCAGCATGGCCGGCACACTGTGGTCTACGGCACATCTCCAAGTAGAGTGGGTTTTGGATGCTGGATGTCTCGCCATGGGGATGGGGAGGAATACTCTGACTGGGACTATTTAGTATACATGTAAGTGAATTTTATCATCAGAGTAGGAACTGTTACAAGTTAATGTGTTGTTTATATTGCTTTTAAGACTGAATTTTCTTGATGCTTTTATCTGGTATCCAGAGAAAATATAGAGGCAAATTTCCAATTATAGTGTATTTTTTTCCCATTTTAAAAATTGTGGTAAAATATGTGTAACAGAATTTACCATCTTAATTATTCTTAAGTATACAATTCAGTGGCATTAAGAACAGTCACACTGTTGCACACTTTAACCACCATCCATTTCCAGAACTTTTTTTCATCTTCCCCAACTGAAACTCTTGTACCCACTAAACAGTAACTCCCCTTTCCTCTACTTGCCTTCACCCCTGGCAGCCATCATTCTTCTTTCTGACGCTATGAATTTCACTGTTTTAAGTACCTTATATAAGTGGAATCAGACAATGTTTGTCCTTTTGTGTCAATCATACTTTATTTTGGTTTAAAGAAGAAAAACTCATGAGGTTTATATGAGATGTAACCTAATTTACATTTGGTTTATTGTCAGCAGTGTCCTTTTAGCCATGCTAGGGAAGTGCATTAAGGTCTCTGCCCTCTAAGAATATGAACAGAAAATCATATCTTCAACAAGCAAAGTCATTTTTTTGTGTGTGATTTTGTGCTATTTTCACATTCCATTTTGAGATCTGTTTGTCTCAGTTTGGAGATGGTTTTGTTAAATATCCATGATTTAAGGTGGTACAACAATGAAAAACCAAGGATTTGGTTGGGAATGAGAGGCACTTAGAAGAATGGGGAATTGGCTTTGACTTTGTAGTGTGTGGTAGGCTGTTGGTAGCGTGATGTTTCCACAGGCTTTGAATCTCGAAGAGCTGGAGTTCTTAGCAGTATGATTTTGATGAAGACACTTTACATCCCTGGCCCTCTGTTCCCTATCTATACATTGCTAGCAATAGGCCTGGAATATTTTTAGGTTCCTTCTAGCATTAACATTCTAAGGATTAGGGTAGCAGTGCCAGAAAATAGGGTAGAATAGTTGTTTCTGACCTTGTGACAAAAATGAATTCCTGATGGCTTATCAAGGTACATAAAAATCCAGCACTGCCGTGTAAATTTAAAATGAGGCAAAAGAAGAGAAAGACAGCAGAGTGTGGCTTAATTTTGGTTTTAATCTTTCTTAACAGTCATTTTATACAAAAAGTACTTTTCATGAACACAGAGTGCTTATGAGGTAAAAATAGAGGAGAAGTATAAATGCAACTTTTCTCTAGCTGTAGCAGTGTAAGGTTTGGGAACAGCCTTTGAATCTGACAATTAAGCTAGGGTAAGGGTTAGTGCCTCTTTTGGAAGCCTATCAAGAGCATTGAGGTGAAGTCCTACCTTTACCCAGAGGAAAGCCACGTCTGGACCAGGTTTTTCAGGAAATTATTCTGACTTTGTTCTAAGGTACAGGTGAATAGGTGCCCTGGGTCCCAGAGTTTTATTCCAGGTAGACTCGTCAGAAGAGTTTTAGCTTGAAAACAAGATGAATGTAACCAGATCCTACCCTCATAAGAAACAGCTGTGGAATATGCTGCTTTAAAGTGCTACTGTTTTACCCCCAAGATGAACTGTTTACAAAGTGTTCATACAAGGTGACTTTTGTGAATTTGTTTATAAGCCATCTAAAAGTTGGGATATCTAGGCAGGTGCGGTGGCTCACACATGTAATCCCAACACTTTGGGAGGCAGAGGCAAGAGGATTGCCTGAGCTCAGGGGCTTGAGACCAGCCAGGCAACTTGGCGAGACCTCGTCTCTACAATATATCAAAAAATTAGCCAGGTGTGGTGGTGCATGCTTGTGGCTCCAGTTACTTGGAAGGCTGAGGTGGAAGGATCTCCTGAACCCAGCAGGATGAGGCTGTTATGGCCATGGGCATGCCTCTGCACTCCAGCATGGGTGACAGAGCGAGACTCCGACTCAAAAAAAAAAAAAAATGTTGAGGTATCTACCAGAAACAGAAGAGGACTAAAATACAACCCTGTTTGATTCTGTTGGAGATTTCTCAGTGTTTTGCCAGAAGACCTGTCCCACTGGCTCTGCTTTCCTTCTAGTTACTGTAGGGCAGGCTGTGTGTGAACATTAATAACTCAGGATCCCGTGTTGACTTTTGCAGTTTGGACCATAACCCATTTCTACCTGGATTCAAAGACCAAGGAAAAGTTAACAAAAGAAGTAACAACCATGTGCTATTTGAGGGGAGGTGGAATTGTGTTATATGGAGATAATAAATGAGATGAATTACGTTTGGGGCCTAAAAAGACAAAATCTTAGCTCTGGTGAAGGTTCTTAACCCAGGTCTTCAGAGCTTCAGAGAGGCTATGGATAGACTGCATTTGATTCGGTTTTCCCTGAATTTTACGCATTTAAAAATATTACTCTGAAGAGAGGTATGTGGTTTCATCAGACTGCCAGAGCGATCCATGAAATTGAAAGTGAACGAATTGTTGATGGGCATGCCCAGTTTTTTTGTTTGGATTAAGTTTTTAAACCCTCAGTAGCCAGAGTAGTTTCTCTGGTTATTCTCTTTTTAGGGAATCAGAAAGACTATTAAATGAATTTAGTTTCTACAGCTACAAATACATTCTTCAGGGTTTTTCAAGCTCATCTGGCTCTCTAGTATTAATGTTGCTAGTAGCAGCCTACGTGTGAATGGGTGTTTCTGCCAAGGAACAATTTCCATTTTAACTGACATTTTCTTTTACATACTAAGTCTTGGATGCCAGGAGCTTTCCTCACTAGTAGTTGTAGATGCTAAATCTGTACTTGACTTTACCACCTCCTGTCAAGATAAATGCAAGCTGCTTCTCCCCACTGAGGAGTTCAAAGGAGTAATTTACTGGTTGGCCCATTTGGGGAGATGTTTTCAGCCCGCCTCACACAGACCCAACTGTGCTTAAAAAGAGCTCAGCTGTCTTTGTTTGTTCTTCTGAAGCATGAGGCAGTTGAAATGAGAATTTTAGAATTTTAGTTCTAAATTCTATGAAAGAGAAGTGGCAGCAATAAAATTGAGAGTGTGTTGATGTCCTCTAAGTTTATTCAGAAAGTTACCTTGTATAGCTGAGCAACATTTATAGAGATAATGGAAACTCAGTCTGTTGAACAGCCTGTGGGGCAGAGGTATAATCTGTGCTTAATAAGGATGACCGGTTTTGGATGTGTGCCTTAGAAACTTAGCAAGTTCATGTCCCTTATCCAGTGAGCCAGATCTCTGAGCTAGGCACATAGGAGTCTGTTAGTAAAAAGGGAATGGTAGGTTTATTGAGGTTTTATTTATATTGGTTTTTTTGCAGACTGTAGGGAAGGCTTGGCGTTTTGCTTGGGTTTATTCTACAAACCAGGTGTTGAATTTAATAAACAGCAGCTTTTAAATTGTTTCTTTCTGTTACCCTGACCAGAGCAGCTTTTCTGCACCTTCCCTGCAGTCATGTTTATGCTCCTCAGCAAAGTCCTGTTTTATATTTAAAGGACTCGAGACTCAGAAATGAAGTATTCACATTTTTGTATTAAGTTGCAAAACCCAAGTACTGAGCCTTCTGCTCTTTAAGCTGTCCTAACTTGAAAAGAATGTATGAGACCCATTGCAGACTCCATCTCCAAAGGGGAATGGATTCTTCTTGTCATGATATATTGATTATAATTTTCTGCTTGAAATTACCCATATTTCAAGCCTGTTGATAGAATTATACCTGAGGAATGGTGAGGATTAGAAGAGCCCACAATCCTTGAGGTTTTCTTTGATAATAATATCCGTAACTGCATCAAACACAAATTTGACATTCTGTGTGTCTGTAGCACAGGTCATGTGACTGTAGATTTCTTTGACATCTTTTCGCATATTGAGGTCAAGGAACTGGCTCTTGATATAATTCCCCGCGTCTTCATAGGAGTTGTTCCCTAATTTCCAGAAAAATAGTGAAGAAGTGGGTAAGTTAACCCTTCTTATCTGTTCACTTACTTTTTAAGTGATTGACTTGACCTTGAAATGTTGTGCTAGACAATTGTAGTTAGGGGCCTCCTTTGGAGGAACGGTTCTCTCTGTTGGACTCCAGTGTTTCTCACTTGAACAGAGAAACTGAGCAGAGTTGTCTCTATGAGTCTGCTTTTGGTTTCTAGTAAGGAACATTCGAATAGTCAGTGGCTCTCTTGCATCTAACATCTGTTCTCTTTGAGAGAATCTGGATTTAAACCCTGTAACTGGCTGGGCACGGTGGTAATCCCGAACTTTGGGAGGCTGAGGTGGGTAGATTACTTGAGCCTAGGAGTTCATTGGGAGGCTGAGGTGAGTGGATTGCCTGAGCTCGTGGGTTCGAGACCCGCCTGGGCAACTTGGTGAGACCTCACCTCTACAATTAAAAAAAAAATTAGCCGGGCGTGGTAGCGCACACCTTAGTTCCAGCTACTCGGAAAGCTGAGGCGAAAGATCACCGGAGCCCAGCAGGCCGAGGCTGTGGTGGCCGGGAGCGGCCACTGCACTCCAGTCTGGGTGACAGAGTGAGACTCCAACTCAAAAAATAAATAAATAAATAAATAAATAAATAAATAAAATAAATGGTCAAAATGGTAAATGCACAGTGGTAATCCCGAACTTTGGGAGGCTGAGGTGGGTAGATTACTTGAGCCTAGGAGTTCAAGACCAGCCTGGACAACATAGCAAAACCTTGTCTTTACACACACACACACACACACACACACACACACACACACACACACACAGCAAAACCTTGTCTTTACACACACACACACACACACACACACACACACACACACACAAACACACAATTAGCTGGGTGTGGTGGCACTCGCCTATAATCCCAGCTACTCAGGAGGCTGAGGTGGAAGGAGCTCCTGAACATGGGAGGTCCAGCCTGGGTGACAGAGTAGGACCTCAGCTCAAAAACAAACCAACCAACCAACCCTATACCGATGTCCAAGTGTCTGCCTTAAGACAAGTTCCTTTATGTCACCGTGGCCTAGGAAATGAGGCAATGGCGAGTCATCACTAAAAGGCCCTATGATTGTCTCCAGCCCCTGGCACTTACCGTCATATTCTGGAAAACAAATGCTGAGATGGACTTTCTTGATTTTTTCCTCAAAGAGGTCCTTCTTGTTGAGAAAGAGGACAATGGAAGTAGCCGCAAAGAACTTGTGGTTACATATGCTGTTGAACAGATGCAAAGACTCATGCATACGATTCTAGTAAGAGGAAACACCACGGGAAATATCAGATTTGGCTTGCGGGACATCTGCCTACTTCCTGTCCTTGTTCCCTTTGAAGAGACCAGTGTTCCAAATGAAAAAGGAAAGTCAGGGAGCAGCTTCTCCCTTTTTAAGGTTGTGGGGTAAAGCCAAAGAGAGCTGGGTTCATTCTAACCCTGTATCTATCATTTTAATAGCTGTGTGACTTGGGGGAAATGATTGAGCTTTTCTGAGTCTGTTTTCCTATCTCATAGGGTTATTATGGAAGTTTGAATTCGGTCATGTTTGTATAGCCTCCATTGATAGAGACTGGCATGTAGGTGTACGATACATGTGGTGCAGCTCTAAAGCAGCCAGGGTGCAGCTAAGGACTTTGACACTCCGTAAGTACTGCCGACAACGGTTTGAAACAAGGCCTGAGTTAGCGTGTGCCATTTGCATCTCCAGGATGATATCAATAGGTTACTGTCATGGGGTCCCAGATCTCAGTGTGGGTCACTTTGGTCCTGGTGCCACGTGGTGGGCTAGAGAATTTGCCAGTGCCATATGACAAGCACTTCTGCTCTCCCATCCCCTTCTCTGGTTGCTGCTTTGCAAGGGTGAGAAGTGGGTTGTCTATCTGCGGAGGTTGTCCTGACCAGTGCCTCAGCCCAGCCTGCTTTTAGGGAGCAGACTTTAGGGCTTTGAAGTATGCTACCATCTGACTTAGGCTCAGTCTTCTCATCTAATAAAACAAGCACAGTCTAACCTGTAGTCTCTTCTTTTTTTTTTTTTTTTTTTTTTTGTCGGAGTCTCACTCTGTCGCCCAGACTGGAGTGCCGTGGCCGCTCCCGGCCACCGCAGCCTTGACCTGCTGGGCTCTGGTGATCCTTCCGCCTCAGCCTTCCAAGTAGCTGGAATTACAGGCGCGCTACCACGCCCGGCTAATTTTTTGATTTGTTATAGAGATGAGGTCTTGCCAAGTTGCCCAGGTGGGTCTTGAACCTGCGGGCTCAGGCAATCCACTCACCTCAGCCTCCCAAGGCACGGGGTTACAGGCTGAGCCACTGAGCCCGGCTAGTCTCTTCTCATTGTTAATACTCCTGCAAAGATCTCATAGCCTCAGGGTTAAAGACGGAAGAGATCTTGGAAAGTTAATAGCTCTAGGAAACATTTGAGTTAGAAGATACTCAGAGTGCTCCACTGAACTTTAAGAAGGGAAGAGAACTGGACTGGCTCAAAGATAGGAGTATCCCTTTCATCAGGAAGCTGTGGGCCTCCATTTATGAAGCAGATATTTATGTGAAGTTAGTGGTTTCCACGCTTTTGACATCCTCTATTCAACTCAGAAGGTAACTGGCTGGACTCTGACACTTGGCCTGCAGGGCCCGTGCCTTGCAGAATTCTACAGGCTAGCCGGGCTCGGTGGCTCAGCCTGTAATTCCGTGCTTTGGGAGGCTGAGGTGAGTGGATTGCCTGAACCCGCGGGTTCGAGACCTGCCTGGGCAACTTGGCGAGACCTCATCTCTACAATAAAACAAAAATTAGCCAGGCGTGGTAGCACGCACCTGTACCTGCTACTTGGAAGGCTGAGGTGGTCAGATCGCCGGAGCCCAGCAGGTCGAGGCTGCGGTGGCCACTCCTGGCCACTGTACTCCAGTCTGGGCGACAGAGTGAGACTCCAACTCAAAAAAAAAAAAGAATTCCACAGGCTAAAGAAAACCACTTTTAGGTGGCCTTCCAATTTATTTGAGTAGCTGCCAACTTAATTGCCGTGTGAGAAACCTGGCCTGCTAGTCTCTCCCATTGACATTCGAGACATTTTTAGGTTTCTAAGTGAGCTGTTAGTGGTTCAACCCTTCTATTATGTTGCAGTGAAGATTCACACCATATGCTATTATCTCTGCTCTATCATTTTCATCTCCTGTCCTTAAGCAACTTGGGAGAGTACTAGGTGCAATTCCTTTGCTTTGCCTGGTTGATGATCCCTTATCGCTTTAATACTCAGCTCCTCTGAAGAACTTTGTGATGTCCAAGTGATGTTTGCATGTCTAATTTGAGAACAAGCTCACTCTCAGTAAATCTGGAGCTCTGAAGTGCTAATCCCCGCAGAAGAAGTTTTTCTAGAATGTTGTGCATGAGACATTGACTGGTCTGCTAGAGGACTGCTAGACTATTAGTGTTAGCTGAAATTAACCAAGTTAGGATATTGAGGTGACACAGGCTTAGAGTAAGGACTGTGGGGAGAATTCATCCTAGCAAAGCTGCTTGATGCAAAGGCCACTCACCACTTCGTCATCTTCCACCAGCACCATGTCGTAGGCACTGAGGGCTGCACAGAAAATGATGCAGGTGACGCCCTCAAAGCAGTGAATCCACTTCTTTCTCTCTGATCTCTGCCCTCCCACATCAAACATCCTGAGGGAAAAAGCAGCTATTTTCGTGGGTATGCCCGACATGCGACCACATGCCGCTGGTGTTCACCCCAAGATGTGGGGGAGGGAAAGAAGGAGAAGTAGAACAGTCACTTAGATTAGGCTTCAGCAAAGGCCAGGAATTTCACAAGTGTGTCTGAGATGCTTTTGGGGATTCCACCTGTGTGTCTGAGATGCTCCAGCACACTGTATACTCACCTGAAATTCAAGTCCTTGACGGAAAACTTGGTCTCAATGATGCCTGTGGTTTTGACTCTGGATCGTAGCACATCTTGCTCAGTAGGGAGGTAGTCGGGGTTTGTAATCCGTTCTAATTGGTTCAGGTAGCTAGAGGAAAGCGATTAGCATTTTTCACAGCCAAGGCTAAAAGAGGTAAGGACTCTTACCCAAAGTCACATAGCGAATTAGGTGACAGAACCAGTTAAATTGAGGGTTCTCTCCTTCAAACCCTCATGTGTCCTTTCTAAAGGCAGCGGGGATGGGCTGAGTGACAATCCCATTTGAGGCAGAGGTTTCATCTCATTTAAATCAAGTCAGATAAGTTTTCCTTGGGTTTCACCCAAGATTTAGTGGTTTCAATGGATGCTGGAAGTTCTATCCAGAGGCAGTAGATTGAAAGAGACTTTAGAGATGTGAATCAGTGCGATGATTTTTAATAATAATTAAAAGGTGACTTTTTAATATCCTGACTCAAACTGGGTTATCTGAACACTGGTTTGGTGACACTTGACGATACTGGAGAATTATAAAATATTTAGGTATGATAGATTAAAAATAAGAATCTCCATATTTTAGAGATCCATAATAATATTTTTAGAATGAAATAATATCTGGGATTTGTTTCAAAATAACCTAGTAGGGGAGAGAGGTCAAATGAAATAAGAATGGCCATGAGCTGATAGATGTTGAAGGTAGGTGATTCATGGATATTACTCCACTTTTGTGTATGTTTGAAAGTTACAATAAAGAATTTAAAAAGTGGCTGGGCATGGTGGCTCATGCCTATAATCCTAGCACTTTGGGAGACTGAGGTGAGAATATTGCCTGAGCTTACAGGTTCAAGCCCAGCCTGGGAAACTTGGCAAGACCTCATCTCTACAATAAATTAAAAAAAAAAAATTAGCCCGTCATGGTGGCACATGCCTGTAGCTCCAGTTACTTGGAAAGTTGAGGCAGAAGGATCACCTGAGCCCAGCAGGTCGAGGCTACAGTGGCCGTGAGCAGTGCCACTCACTGTACTCCAGCCTGGGCTGCAGAGTGAGACTCTGACTCAAAAAATAAAAAAATGTAAAAAGTGTGTAAAGCAGGAGGAAGGCAGATGTGAAATGAGGTGACTGATGGCTGAGAGGGCAGGTCACTTGGCACGAGTGCCTACTATATTCCATGCATTTTCTTTTTCTTTTTTTTTTTGAGTTGGAGTCTCACTCTGTCACCCAGACTGGGGTGCAGTGGC